AGCGACGACGTTCGTCGCTAAATTCGCAAGAACAAATACAATGGATGAGCCAGCATCTTGGACTTTCAGTTGGGAAGGATCCATCCTCGTAACTGTTCAGAGCCTGATTCTCTAAACTGTTGTCACGAAACGACGACGACGACGACGACGACGACGACGACGACGACGACGACAAATCCTAGCAGATCCTTCCGCGGATCGTGCAACCGACCACGTTGAAACGTTCTCAGCTGTCTCGTAAACAGCGACGGTCCTTAAGCCAATACCGACGTTTGCAATCTCTCCGAGCGAATCAAATATACAAATACGAGGCTGTCGATATCGCAATGGTGGATACACAAGATACTCTAAACCTGTCCCTCCGCACTTTACCCCGCGAACTTTTTCTACCGCGAATTGCCGATGTCCCCCCACCGGCAAATCCCAGAGACTGCGACGTCTGTTCGTCTTAATACATCCACGGTCCACAGTCCACAGTATGCTGTCGGTGCTGTCGATTATCGAGGCACCGAGTTTGAGAGTTTCTCCGAGCAAATTACCGCGACTATCTATTCCCGCCAACTTCCCAATTATTTTCCAGGCGTACACGTATTTTACACGAGCAAAATTCACAGTGGAATTTTCCGAAGAGAAGGATAATAATGCGCGAAAGCTCCTGCACAAGGGAGACGCGAAGAAACCCCAATGTCCAAAGTCGCGGTGAACTTCGAGACGAGAGACATTAATTCGGGACAGCTCGACTCGAAAGACCGAGAAGAAAATTAGCGGAAGTGCCGTCGCCGCTAATTTCTCACCCCCGCTCACCTCTCGTTCCATTAACTCGCAGTGGCTCGGCCGCGGTGCTTCCGCTTCCCCTCTGCCTCTGTCGTTAAACCGTCACACCGTCGCGCGAATTAGCTATATAATCTCAATGATTTCATCTATAATTTCTGTCGTTGTTGCAAACTTGTGCCGATTCGCTCGAGTTTTTCATCGAAGCCTGCAACTATAGCTGACGAGAGCGGAGCGCGCAGCGGAACCCGAGAGAGAGAGAGAGAGAGAGGGAGAGAGAGGGAGAGAGAGAGAGGGAGAGAGAGAGAGGGAGAGAGAGAGAGAGGGAGGGAGAGAGAGAGAGAGAGAGAGAGAGAGAGAGAGAGAGAGAGAGAGAGAGAGAGTTCCCGTAGGAACAAACAGAGTCAAACAAGAGGAGGTGGAGGAAGGGTAAACGAACCGGAAGGAACATGGAGCGTGAAAAATCCTCCAAATTCGGGCCTCGGATCGGAGCACGCACAAAGAGGTGACCGGACGAATTTCGCACGGCACAATTCACACGGCGCGATCACCAGCTAACCGAGTGAATTATTCGAGCCGCTCGTTGTCCGCTCGGCGACTTTGCACTTTGATTCGGATCCCGTCCCGGTGTGGATTTTGCCGGTGGGGACCATCAAAATTACGGAGTTGCTTTTCGGACCAGTCGGAAGACCTGGACTCGTTAAGGTGGCTAATTAACGAACGTGCTGTAGGACATGAGCTAATTAGCTCACACGAATATCATTGCCAGCTCGGTCGGTCGATGCGAGCGACCGGTGCATCTCGGGCTTGGGCGGCGGGAAACCGGGCCGGAAATAAGACTTTCTGTGTATTTCTCGTTTCATTTCTCTTTAACACGAGAGAGTTGTGTATTCAAGAACGTTGTGTTGACGTTCTTGTGACGCGCGACGTTTCCAAAAGTCTGTTTCACATGTCAATGACAAATATCAATGACCGTGAACGCACGCACGAGAGTTCACGGTCCGCTTAACGCGGACGCGTCACAAACGACGGGAGAAAACGATTTTCCTAATATAATAATGTAATCTCGATCGATCAATCGAATGTCAATAACGCCGTTTCACATTTATATCGATTACTGTAGAGGGTGCCACATGATGAGCGGAGAGCAGAATAGAGAGAGAGAGAGAGAGAGAGAGAGAGAGAGCCGATATTGCAGCAATTCTCCGTATCAACGCGACGGCTTTAGAGAGGTTCCCTGTAGTATCGGCGTGCTTTAGTATCCCGCACGCGCAGAGACCTGCTTTACCGCAAAGAGACATTTGCGCGCATACTCGATCGCAAACGTCAAAATCCTCAAGGTTTGTTGGAATTCTTCCGACGGATTCTCAAAAGTACGAAACGGAAAATCCACACTTCGGTGCGTCATTTCGTGAAAGAAGGTGGCGAAAACGTGGCGAACGAACGTACGTTCGCGCCGAGTGCAAAGAGGAAGCAGCGAGGAGGAAGAAGCAGAAAGTTTAGGAGTAGGTGAGAATCAAAAGTACTAAAAGTACGAGCTTTTAGGCTTATTAATTTCAACAGTTTCAACGGACGCGACGGGTTCAAGGGATTGCGCGTCGCCCGGCGGTTCTCATTCGCGGTCATAGCGCTTCTCCGACGAGATACCGAGCGCGGCTCAGCGCGACGCGCACTCATGTGTTTTCATCGTCCTCGCGCGGACTCGCGCGGGGGTGGATTAGCCAGCAGCTGGCTGGGGTGGGGTGGGGTTGGGGGGGGGACCGATGTCCGACCAATGTCAGTGACATTTCCGAGCGGTTTAGCGACTACGGCAGCGAGGCGTGTGGTCTCACGACACGAAGAAGCTCGTCGGAGAATTAAGAGGCCAAACATCCTGTTTAGAGCGACCAACAGGTACGACGCAGGGCGCGCGGATGAGTTATTGCCACTCGAGACGAAGAAGGATATTATTATATAGTTAGACGCCGCGCGAACGTTAATTTCGTCCGAGTGAATTTATCGTTCGACAGCGTCGCCGATAAACGCGCCGCTCTCGCGCGCTATTTCAGCGCGCTATTTCAAACTCGCTTCGAAACTTGGAAGTTAAAGGGGCGTCCACCTAACACACACACACACACACACACAGGTATTCCACGCTCAACAACGCGTGTCTCGCGTTATCACTCGCGTGACGAAGCACCAAATCGAAAAGTGGAAAATGTTGCAAGTGCAACTTTTCAAACGCACTCACTCACCTCCAGGTGAGATTCCGATGCGACCACTGCTGCCCGTGGATGGTGAAGCGCTTGTGCCTCGTCCTGCTGAGTCGAGGATCCGGTTGATCCGGTAGTCCGCATCTCCTTGCCTTTATCAGCTTTAGCGTCGCCTCGTCGATCTCGCCCGTCACGGGGATGCCGCCGAATTTCTGATGACAGACAAACAGCGCGAGCACGCCCGCGTGTTCATTTCACTTGCGAACACATCAGGCTTTACCTATAACCTACCTCTTTGACTATGACCTTCCTCATTTGTTAAAAAAGTCACCGGCATTACAAAGTTATTACATGGCAAAATTGCATCCCGACAATCGAGGCTCCAGTCCAGCCAATTTTACCTGTGTATGTGTTATTCTTTACAGGATATAATACCTTTTATAGAAATAACAGCGCTAGCTCTCCTTGTACCATTGGACAATTTGATAAAATTCAACCACTGCAAGATATCACGGCGACTGCGGCGATTGGCGTCACGCGAAGACGCGATATATTCTCGTGTGAGTAGCTTCTGCCAAGAGTGCCAAGAGCGGTCGCATTCCTCCCCTCAATCTTTCCTCTCACGGCAGAGGCGAAAGAACGAGAGATAAGCGCTATTCGAGCATTCGAGCCAGAAACGTGTCCGGAATCTGACAAACACGTTTATCGCATCCTGATCTAAGACCATCGGGACCGTTTCTCGCGGGCGGAAGCAAACTCTCGATTACAAGGTCCGAGGCTTTCCCGACGCGTCCCATTCTATTCGAGCGATCTACTGCTCTACTGTCGTCTCCCCGACCGCGACAATGGCCAGGAATGCAATGCCTTTCGCAAGGGAAAAATGGCAAAACCGCCATTCGCGCGATGACAATTTTACATGAGAATTGGGCGCGCGGGTTGGATGCACGTCTGTCGTGAGAAGGGTATATATACAATGCGTCGACGGTACCCCCTCGGGACGTTTGCCCCGACATTTTCCCATTTTCTTCGACGAGAATTCCCATACCGACTCACTCGCGGCGCTTCTGGTTGCCTTGGAAAATCAAATCAAATCGATCGATCGGTCGGTCGGTCGATCGATCGATCGTGTTTTCGTCACTCGACAAAACTTTCGTTCCACTCTCGCGGAATAAAATTCGATAAAATTTGCTCGGCTCCTCATGATCGACGAACTCTATCGCGATTTCGTCTGTTTATCCATATACAGAATCGTTCCAGTACTGAGTCTCAATTGTGACTACTATTATATTTTCGATATTGCCGCTGTACCATCAGTAATATTGCTAATATCAGCTAATATTGGTTCGACTATTTGTTAACATTGACAAACAATATTTATCATGCGTATACGAACGCGTACGAGTATTCAAGTACTCATATAACTCATTTAAATGTAAAATGAATTTAATACTGAGATATTCACTAACTATGAAACATTTCAGCGGTTATTTAACCTGGATCGCTATTGCGGAAATCATTATCATTGTCAAGGGGGGGGAGGGAGAGAGAGGGAGAGAGAGAGAGAGAGAGAGAGAGAGAGAGAGAGAGAGAGAGAGAGAGAGAAAGGGTTTAACACCTCTGATAATTGCCCAATATTAACATGATTGCAAATTCCTAAATAGGCAATTTATCCGTGGCAACCAGTTAAAAATTTTAATAGTTATAATTGTTAATGAAGTAATTTACACTATCTTCAACTATCAAGTAGATTACGTTATCACACGTTGCCGTAAAAATGTTGATTACAGATTATGCTGCATTGATAGTTAGTAGCTAATTATTTGCCAATTGTACTTCAGTACCGAATGACAGATTCTTATAGATAATAAGCATGATTGTAAGTAAGACAGTAGTATTTACTTTGTTTAAAATCTAGCTATCATATATAATGGATACCTGTAGATTTTGTATGGCATCCCTGAGTTGGTCCTCAGTTCGCAGGTTGCCCGTTTTAATGTCGGTCTCCGGTAAATAGCCGAATCTCATGAGATAGTTTTGCTGCAACATAAAATGCGAAAAAACAATCAAATATTGCGATGTTTAAACGCGAGTAATTCGAAAACTATCAAAACGCGATAAGAGTCTCAAAGGTGAAGCATGTGCACAAATTTAAAGACGTTGCCTGCCCTCCTTGATTTACACACACACACACACACACACACACACACACACACACACACACACACACACACACACACACACATACACATATTTCGCACTGATTGGGCCGGCTGTCCTAATGAGAAATAGTTGAGCGCAAGTATGCGCTATCAGATTGCGGCTTCCCAAAACGATAATTCCCCCACCTCCCTCTCTCTCTCTCTCTCTCTCTCTCTCTCTCTCTCTCTCTCTCTCTCTCTCTCTCTCCCTCTCTCTATCTCTCTCTCTCTCTCTCTCCCTCTCACTTACTCACTCACTCACTCATTCGCTCACTCTCTGCTTCTATATTTGCCTCTTCTCCCTCGATCGACTGAGTGAAACGGCGCGACGATTCATCGACTCGCATGCTGTCGCGATTTCTATCACGGCAAAATCCTTTTTTGTTTTTCCTTCTATTTTTTACGCTCTTAACGAATGCGGAAGATAAATCGATAACGGGGCAAAAATCATTTCGTGACACAAGATTGTTACCGTAACGAGAATAAAGCGTGCACAATGTAATCTCATGGTGTACGTGCGTGCACATATGCATATATGAGGATATGTACACGCAAATGCGTTTACTTGCGCACAGCGATTTATCGATTTATCCGCGTATCGCGTTGGAATAAAAATTGTCGCGGAACCTGTGTAGAATTGGACCACACACTCGATTCCCGCGAAAAACGAGAAATTTTTATCGAATTCTTCTCACGAGATAGCCTTCGAACATTTTGTTATTCTTCTCTTACCGTAAAAACATTTATACGTGGACGGGAAATTGATACCGGGTAACCAAATACAAAATTGTAATTTCATATAAATAATCGCGACACGATTTTTCACATCGGACTTGAGAAATTGAGAGAATTAGACTTCTGCCCTGCCCCCCCCCCCCCTCGGATTTAGCCCCTTAACGTGACTTATTAATAGTGTCAGATTAATTACGAAGAAAAATACCACGGTTCCGTCGACGCTTCTCCGAACTTTGAATAATTTGTTGTTGACTTGTTTTACAGGTAGAATAATGGCTGGCTGCGGCTTTTAGAGATAGAATGCAGGCAGGGTCGGGAGGTGAAAGGTCGTAAATTGACTCTCGCGGAAACTCGCAAGACGTAAACGTCCATTCGCATGCCGAGTCACGGTTAGTTATTTCGCGTTAAACATTCTTTCTAGATCGCCACGCTCGTTACGACGCTCATAAACAGCAAATTACAGGCCGTGAAAGATGGTGGGAAGGCGCATGTAGCTCACAAAGCATCTATTATGTTGCACAAAACGCAAATTGCACGGGTAACATTATGTACGTTATGTAAACGCTCCCGGCGGCTGAACACGGTGATGTACACACTTGGAATACGAATCGTTCGTATACGTTCGTGGGCGTTCATGTGGTTGGTCACAGAAATTAATTAGAGCGAGCTTAATCTACCGTCAAATGATACCGCTTGACTGATATCGTGTCCAGCATAATGAATTGTCGTCCGAAACAGACGTCGATTGATAGAGAAAATCTCGCGCGATTGTACTTTTCGTGAATCTTCCGAACCGAATTGACTTCTCCCCGCGCAACGCGGAAAGTGAGTGACCAATCCGCAGTTTCCTTTTCACAAGAATTGCTCGAGCACTTTCCTGCGCCAAAGTACGACGAAAGTAGTACAATGTGCAAACTCGTGGACATAATTTCGCGAGCGAGCAACGTACTAAAATCGACCGCGAGTTTCGCGGAAGACGTCGAGATGACGAAACGCGCTCGCGAGACTTTAGCACGTGGCACGTGGAGGGCGTCGCTATCTTTAGGGGTCCCCCAGGAATCGCGGGGACGAAGAGTGTCGTACTTGGCCGCCGCCGCCATCGCTGCCACTGCAGGAACGAATTCCAATTCGCGACGGTGAGTAAAAAAGAAAAAGTGCTCTCGCGTCGTTCCAACTTTCGACTTTCGAGAACGGAGAAAGAGGAAGATGAGAGCGCGAGATGAGAGAACGGGGCGGTTATTCCTAACGTGAACGCGAGAAGCGTGCGGAAAAGCGTGAGGAAAAATGACGCGAAATAATAACCGAAAGCCGTTTCGCAGGACGAGTTATAGAATTTTGGAATTTCTCCGTTGACCGAAACTCTCGTAACGAGCAAACCACCACACGACATGACTTTAATTCCCGGAAAAATTGCCGGATGTACTCGCTCGCATCTTGCGTGTCTCGAGAAATTTCAAGTACCGGCAATGTACCGAAACGACTACCTCCGACGTTCTCGACGACAGAAGTGAGAGCGCCGGCAACGTCATTACAACGATTGATGTGTTCTCGATCCTCCTTCCCTATTCAATCTGCGGTTCTTTCAGACTTTTCCAATTCTGTCTACCTCTAGGGATGAATAACGATATTTACCGTTTGGCGTTAAAAAGCGACCCAAGAAAATATGCACCGGAAAATCTTGTCATAACATTTTCTCACGAAACGCTCGTGAGATATGGAAATTTCCATAGAGGCCGCGGTTTAAAAGGGAACTTTTCAAGCTGTACAAACAAAACTTTGTGTGCGCGCGCGCGAAGAAAAATAAATAGAATAAGTAAACAAACAAACAAACAGACAAACAAACGGGACTTATTTTTTATATTTTTGATGGAATTCAATTGTTTCGGAGTTGAGGATCAATTTTATCACGCGGTTCACGCTTTCACAGCGGTTTCGTCTATTATGCGGTGTATCCGGTGTATTCGAATGCAACTGATAACTCCCTCCCCCCTCCCCCCTCCCCCATCAGATGATATCTTGTAGAAGTTACGGTGAAACTTTACTTTTGTCTACGCTTATCACGATCTCGCTTTTCCGGATTTACGTTATATTGGGTCGTCAAGGGAATGACCGCGAGGTCAACGAGAATCGAAAGGGTCGCCGACGAGCTAACGTTAAGCCGAGACAACGGCACAATCGCCGTTACTACGCCGAAACGGATCAGGGAAATTTGCGGAGCAAACATTAGCATTATATTCGAAGGAAATAAACGTGAAAGAATGATGAAACTTTCACCTTTTGCGTACATGTTTGTTATTTTTACGCGATGCATCTCCCTCACGCATGCACACACACACACACACACTCTCTCTCTCTCTCTCTCTCTCTCTCTCTCTCTCTCTCTCTCTCTCTGTTCTTTTTCAAGACTACATGTCGCCGTATACGGAAAAACGTGTATGAGTAGCTCGTACAAACGCACTCTCACGAGGAGAATACGCACGTGCATCGTCCACATGGGGCATGAGGCGGCGGGGAGAGGGAGAAAAGACGCCAGGGGGGTGATAACCGTCAGACTTAGGCCGCGTTTGGTCATCGAGCGCGACATTTATCTCGCATTGTTCGCGGATTGCCCCTTCGCATGGGAACCGGTTATGTCGCCGTTTAAGGCGGATAATATATATCGAGGAATGTCTCGAACAAAGAGATATTTTCGGAGATTTCTCTTCTGTGGTCGTGTTCGCGCCCGGCTTAAACGCGCCTTTCCCCGAAGTAGCGCGAAAAAGTAGAGAGAGAGAGAGAGAGAGAGAGAGAGCTCTGCCTGCCGATCCTGGAATTAAATTTCGCACTGGCCTTTTTTGCGATCGCGCAAATGCGAAAACGTCGATTATAAGAACACATATATACATGTGCTCCTCGATTCATGTGATATAAATGACGTGCGTATATATATATACACGCACGTCCAAGTGAAAACAATGAGATCATGATGAGATCATGGCAATGAATGTCGGTGTCGTAAAACGGCTGAGAGAGCGCCGGATGAATTAACGGCGACATAAAGCTCGCCTCTGCTCACGCGGAACGTCCATTACGGGGAAACGTTATCGGCGACACCCCGGTGAACTTTGAAGTTCGCTCGCAGGGTGCATGTACCACATACCGTACGAACAAAGGGACAAGGTCGTGTCGTTTATTGCTCCCGCCCGTAATCGCGCTTATCGACTGGCTCGAAGGGGAGAAGCCCTGTGTTTCTCTCCTCTCTCCGCCCCTCTGTCTCTCACTTTCTCTCTCTCTCTCTCTCTCTCTCTCTCTCTCTCTCTCTCTCTCTCTTTCTCTTTCTCTCTCTCACTCATTCACTCACTCACTCACTCACTCACTCACTCACTCACTCACTCACTCACTCACTCAGTCATGGAGAAACTCGGTCATGGTATCACCCAAGGGTGATAACGGCAGAGGAAAAACGACGGATTCCTTCTCGTGTGCGCGATGCAAGAAAAGAGAAAAGACGCATCCCACGAATCATCATTTATCGATTATTAATTTATCATGTGGAAAGGGTTGAATTCGTCAAATCTAACGACGCACAGCACGCAGCTGTCACGTCGAAACATTACTGACTGAGTAGCGATGAGAGAGAGAGAGAGAGAGAGAGAGAGAGAGAGAGAGAGCGCATTCTTGGTCGCGACCGCGAGCGTGATGCACGCGGGACGAGAGAGGAATGCAACGACAACAATGTGACAAGCAGCAGAGGGGAACGAGACGAAAGCATCTACTGCGCATTTCGTTCCTCATCTCGGCTGTTGGTCGATCGTACCGGGCGACACACTGGTTACCTTGCTTACGTCGGTCGAATACAATACTAGTTGCGAGGTATACAGTTTCGCGGTCAGAAAGGTCTCTCGTGGCCTCTCGCCTGTGTGCTTTGCATAAGACAGGGTGCATGGGCGTGCAGAAGGAGCACTCGCTCCCTTTGATGTCGAACGACCATTCATCCTCGTTCGGCCTTCCGCGTTTAAAGGAGTCACGTAAAAACATGTTAAGCTTCTTTCAAGCTTTACTTCGGCGAAAGAAATTTCAAGAGAGTTTCACAAATTTATGGTTATATCATAATTCATCGCTATT